CTCTCTCTCTCTCTCTCTCTCTCTCTCTCTCTCTCTCTCTCTCTCTCTAGATGAACACACAAACAATAATAAAAAATCTAACATACAAGAATACATAAAAAATATGAATTTCCTAAATCCTAAACTTGTAACCATAAAAGAGATCGAGTTTAGTGGTTTAGAATGGAAACTCTAAATGTTCAGATCTGATGAGCATCAAGGGGTGACGACAAGAAAACTCTAAATGTTCAGATCTCGATGATGGTTAAGGGTGATAAATCTTTTTCTTCGGCGATTTTCATCTGAAACCCTAAACGATGGTTGAAACCCTAAAAATTAGAAGGGTGGCGACTAAAACCCTAAATACAAGCACACACGAAACCCTAGCGACGCACCATTTCCGATATGTTTCGTCCTCCATCATTTCGTCTTCGAACCTGGCAATAATTTTTAGGGGCGATGAAACGATTCAGTTTTAGGTTTAGGTTTCATAGTAGAAATCGATTCACGTGGTGGTGAAGGGCCTTGAAACACCGACAAGGGTTTCAGATCGACTATGAGAGGGATAATCAGAAAAGGACAACTGTGGTGGTGCTCTTTCAGATCTTCACGGGGCTGCTAGGCAGCTGATGAAGGCCATCGGACGGATATACATTGACGATGGCCATGAGCGGCGGTGATATGGATTAGATATCCAAAAAAAACCCCACCTTGGAAACATCCATTCTCGTCGGATCTTGGTCTGATGTCGTCTCATCCGGCTCCAATGAATGCTCCGGCAAGTGAGAGATTGAAGGTGGGTTTCAAGTTCAATACATTGTGGTGGATTTGGGGCAGGAGGATTGTCATCGATTTGTGGATTTTTGTTCACATAGTAAACACACACTCAAATACGAGAGAGAGAGAGAGAGATAGAGAGAGAGATTTATTTTTATTTAATTTTTATTTTTATTTTTTAATTTTTTAAATCTGAAAATTAGAAAAACAAATAAGAAAAAAAGAAAATCATATTAACAAGGGCAAATCCGTCATTTTGAAAAAATCAAAACATATTGGACCAACTAAGCAACAAAATGAAAACTTTAGACCTCTAGTGCTAGTCCAAACCTTTTTGGACCAAAGTGACAATTTTGAATAAACCACAGGGACCATTTGTACAGTTTAATCTTCAAAAAATTATATTCTCATTCAAAAGATCTTTTAATTAGATTCTATAATATAACTTTTTTTAATTAGAAAAAACTGTAAATTTGGTCCTTATGGTTTGTAAAAAACTTTGGATGGGATCTAAAAAGTTTTCAACTTTTATGGAATGTCCAAAATCAAGAATTTTCCTTGAATTTAGTCCCAAAATTAGGAATTTCTGGTAAAGTTGGTCCTTGCTTGATTTTAAAAGACAATTTTACCCTTTTCATTTCTTTTTTCCTTTTTTTATTTATAGTTTATTACTTCAATAAATAAGAAATAAAAAAACTCACCCACCCCTTCATACACCCACCCATGGTACTCTCTCTCTCACACACACACACACACACACATATTAAACAACGCCCCTAGAAAAAAACCACTTCCCCATTCTTCTTCATCACCTCAAAGATAAACACAAAGGAAATATTTAACATCATCAGACCAGTTTATGTTCATACCAAACAACAAATCGGTAAAGTATCTACGATTATCGGGAGTGTAAGAATATCTGACAATGGCCCTTACATTAATAACCAGAAAAAGCCCACCTACAAATTCCTTTCTCTAATATACAAAAAGAATGAAACAATCCAGAAAAATCTATACATTTGATTGTCGAGACCAGGTTCCATGCCACGTGTTTCCATCATACATCCATGTATCTTTGGGGATTTTCACTGATTCATCTAACCTCGTTGATTTTTCCATCCACATCAAAAAAATCCGTTCAACTCTATCCCCTGTTTGGTCCTTTTTCCACTGTGAACCACCCCAAAACTCATTGGGTTCACTTCGATTTGTAGCATTCTTACTATATTTCTCTCATTTCTTCCCTAATTTCACATGATAAAACCCCTAATTTGTTTTTTGTTCGAATTCACTCACATATTTACTATAATTTTAGTTTGTCGGAATCCTATTCATCACAACTCAATCACTTTACTTCTTCATCTTCGCCACTTATGTTTGGTTTAAGAGGATTTTGGTATAGAGAAGAGAGATTAAAAGTCTTAAAGGGTTTTTCAGGTGAGAGGGACGAGGGAACGATTGGACCTTTTCAGCTTCGTACTTTGCTAAGCAAAAGGGATATCGACGAAGTTAGTCTGACCTCCCTTCTCCTGACATGTCCGGTCAACAACTTTGTGCTTTACTGAGCAAAGGGGATGCCGACAAAAATGAGAGAAGAGAGTATATGAGGAAAACGGGTGAACAGAAAAGTGAGTAAAAGATAGAGAAAGAAAGTCAAAGAGATAGAAGGGGAAACAAAAGGGAGGGTACGGGTGGAGGGTGTGGGGTAGGTATTTTTTTTATTTTTATTTTTTATAATTATTAAAATATAAGTTTAAATAAAGAAAATGTAAAAAAGAAACAATGAGAGCAAAATAGTCCTTTCAAAAAATTTAGGACTAAAATCACAGGAAATTCTTGATTTTGGACCTTCCATGCAAGTTAAAAACTTTTTGGACCTTATCCAAAGTTTTTTGAATACCACAGGGACTAATTTTAAAGTTTTGTCTTTTAATTAAACACATCATCCAAACTATGTGACATATGTAAATTCAATTAATCTAACTCTTGCATGCATTTTATTTGCACATAGAGACAGTGGCGAGTCTAGAATAGATAACCATATGGTTCACTAATTTTTTTTATATAGAAAATTTCTATATAAATTCTAGGATTTTATTGGTAAGGTAGGTCCTAAATTTTTTCTAAGGTGGGTCACAAAAATTTCCTATAGAAATTTTAGATAAATTAGAAAAATTAGTTAGGTCATTGGACCCGCCTTACTTATGTATGGCCTCGCCATTGCATAGAGATCCACACAAATGATAGACTTGGTAAAGATAAATGTAAAGCAAAATAAATACAACTCTTTGAAAATAAATACACAAATGATAGACTTGGTAAAGATAAATGTAAAGCAAAATAATTCTTATAATTCTATGATTTATTTGTAGCATCCCAACCGTCAGGTATTATCAACATTTTCCTTTTAGACTTCACGTTGAA